GTTCGACGACAAGGACACGCGGTCGGACCAGCCCGCGCGGAAGTCGGACGGGTACGCCGCCGTCGTCGCCCGGATGAGCTCCCGGACGTCGCCGCGGAGCGAGGCGTCCTCGCAGCCCTTGGATCTCGCGAGCAGCTCCTCGAGGAAGAGCCGCGCCTTTTCTTTGACGCCCGCGCCGGGCGTCTTCGCGGGCGGCGCCGTCGCGGCGGCCTCGTCGTCGTCCGGCGCCTCCGCCTCCGCGGCCGCCACGGCCGTCGTGCGCGCCGAGTCGGGCCCGCCGTCGGCGTGGGAGACCTGGAGCGCCGCGAGGACGGCGCTCGCGAGGTCGTCGATGCTCGAGTGGTCGAAGCTGTCGGCGTGCTCGTTCTTGACCTTGTCGAAGGACGCGCGCCTCGACTTGCGGCCCGAGGAGCTCCCGCGCCGGCTCCGGGGCGACTCCTCTGCCGCGCTGTTGTTCGACGTCCGGCGGCTCCGGGGCGATTCTTCGCCCGCGCTGTTGTTCGACGTCCGGCGGCTCCGGGGCGATTCGCCCTGCTGGAAGGACTTGCGCCGCTCGGATCGCTTGGGAGGGCTCGGCGTCGGGGCCGCGGCTTCGGCGGCGCTCATCGACAGGCTCGTCGACACCGGAGCGGGCTTGATGGCGGGCATGCTGCTGCGCCTCGACGGCGCCATCGGGGAGAGGGGCAGTGAGACAGGGCTGCCTTCCTCACGCAGCGTGAGGCAGGGCTGCCCGAGAGCTGAGAGAGCAATCGAGAGAGCTGAAGGCAGCTCTCAAAACCCCCGATCCTTGAGGTCGGCACATGCAGGAAAGGTGGCATCCTAGGCAAAGAATTAACAATATGGCCGCCACCTAGCCGGGTGGCTCTTCTCGGGCTGCCCGGGATGCGCGCGTCGGGCCGATGGCGCGCCTCCGCGGCGGCGCTGTGCGCCGCGCTGCTGCCGTACGCCTCGCGGAGCGAGAACGTCACGATCGGCTTCGGCGGCGCCTGGCGGGGCCTCTTCCTGCCGTCGACGGCGTCGGGCGCGCTCCAGGGCGACGCGTCGCTCTGGACGAGCTGCGACGCCTTCGGCGGCTTCGCGCGGCTCTACGGCTACGCCGGCGACGCGCTCGGCGGCGGCCTGCTCGTCGACACGGGCGGCTCCTGGGCCGGCGGCGGCACGCCGTTTCCGGACGTGCTGGCGGACTACGCGGCCCTCTTCGTGCGCGACGGGCCCTACGCCGCGACGTTCCTGAACGCCTACGACTTCTCCTACGGCGACGCGGCCCTCGCGGCCTGGCTCGAGGTCGCGAATCGCACCTTCGTGCTGTCGAATCGCGCGGCGTCGCCCGCGCTCGACGGCGCGCCGATCGCGAGCTACGCCGTCGCGTCGACGACGAGCGGCGTGCGCGTCGGTTTCCTGGGCATCGCCGAGGCGCGGGTCGACTCCATCGACGGCGACTACGACCGGTGCCTCGCCGTCGCGGCGCGCGAGCTCGTCGCCGCCGAGGCGCCGGATCTGGTCGTCCTGGTCACGGACCTCGCCGCCGACGACGCCTGGGACGCGGCCGTCGCGCGGACGCCGGGCATCGACGTCGTGCTGTCGACGACGTGGGGCGACGACGTCGAGGACGGAAGGCGCGCGAGAACT